CAGATCTCTCTGAAGGAGCTGCCCGAAAGTAGGGTCCTGAAAGAAATAAAGAAAAAATGGTATGCGGGCCTCATGGCTGCTGAACCGCATTGCAGGCCGCATTATCGCCTCGCCTCCACCTATGCCCATGGTATTTTAAGCGTGTATTTGTGTACGCGTGGCACGAACGCCGCCTGGATGGGGCTGGGGTGGAGGCCAGATTGCTAATCGAGCTCCTGGCGTGCCTGACGGTCCTGTTGCGGGGTGCTCCGGACTCGCTTGACGGTGTTCGGGGTTGTCGTTGCCGAATTGGCTGTTTGTCGAAGGAGGCTACTTTGTACTTCTGCCGCGAGGGCCGCAGTGTGCTCTTCTGTATGAAGGGAGCGGTCTGTGTTTCCATTGACTGTTATAACCCCGTGAGGTCCTGGCATTTTGAGCTTGAGGTATGCATAGTGTGGTACCGCATTGAATCGAGCAAACACGGTTCGTCCGAGTAGTGCATGATAGCCACTACGGAAAGGGACGATATGGAAGATTAAATCCTCGCTTCAGAAGTTATCCGGAGATCCGAAGACCACTTCCAGTGTTATTGAGCCCGTACAGCGGGCCTCTACCCCTGGAATTACACCCTTGAAGGTGGTTTTGGTGGGTTTGATCTGTGACGGATCGATGCCCATTTTGCGCATTGTGTCCTGATAGAGCAGGTTCAGGCTGCTGCCATCGTCCATGAGGACTCGCGTGAGGTGGAATCCATCGATGATTGGGTCAAGGACCAATGCGGCTGAGCCGCCGTGACTGATGCTGGTTGGATGGTCCCTACGATCAAAGGTGATCGGGCAGGATGACCATGGGTTGAACTTTGGGGCGACGGGCTCCATCGCATAGACGTCCCTAAGTGCACGCTTTCGCTCCCGTTTGGGGATGTGAGTGGCATAGATCATGTTCACCGTTTTCACCTGGGGGGGAAATTTCTTCTGTCCCCAAGTGTTCGGACGCTGGGGCTCCTCGTCGTCATCGTTGTGCAGCCCCTTGTCCTTGTTCTAGGCATTTATCTTGCCGGCCTGTTTGAACACCCAGCAATCTCTGTTAGTGTGATTGCCTGGTTTATCGGGGGTGCCATGAATCTGGCATGAGCGGTCGAGTATGCGGTCCAGGCTGGATGATCCCGGATTGTTTCTTTTAAACGACTTCTTCCACTGACCGGATTTGGAGTTGCTGAATCCGGCATTGACTGCCGTATCTTCGACATTGTCGCCATTGTTCCGACGCTTCTGTCTATTGCGCTGTGGCTTTCCGCTACTCTCGTGGATATCTGAAGTGCTAGAGTTTCCTGGCGCGGTGTTACTGCGAGCCAGCCAGCTGTCCTCACCCGCGCAAAAGCGGGTCATTAGTGTCGTGAGGGCCGCCATGGACTTCAGTTTTTCTTGGCCGAGGTGTAGGGAAAGCCACTCGTCGTGGATATTATGCTTAAAGGCAGCCAGGGCCTCGGCGTTCGGACAGTCGACAATTTGGTTCTTTTTAGTTAGGAACCGAGTCCAGAATTTCCTGGCTGACTCTCCGGGTTGTTGGATAATGTGACTTAAGTCATCAGCATCCGGTGGTCGCACGTAGGTGCCCTGGAAGTTATCGAGGAATGCGTCCTCAAGATTTTCCCAACTACCAATGGAGTTTGCTAGCAGGCTATTCAGCTAATGTCTAGCTGGCCCTTTAAGCTTGAGCGGGAGATACTTGATGGCGTGTAGGTCATCACCGCGGGCCATGTGAATGTGGAGAAGAAAATCTTCGATCCACACCGCGGGGTCTGTTGTGCCATCGTATGACTCGATGTTGACGGGTTTAAACCCTTCTGGGAATTCATGTTTCATTACTTCATCAGTGAAGCAGAGGGGGTGTGCGGCGCCTCTCTGCCGGGCTATGTCACGGCACAGTCCGATTAGGTCTGGTCGGTTATGTTCGGCCCGGCCGGATTTATCAGTATTGTATCCGGCATGACGATCGGTGTCATGAGCTGTGGCGCGCCCCCGTGATCCCTAGATCGTTCTTGGTTGTCCTGCGTTGTTTTCCAATAAGTCTCGTAGGTCCTGCGTATTGCCCCGGGCCGTAGTGAACCGGCATGGGGGTGCGGGCTGGTATCCGGCCTGATATGCCATTTTATCCCGGCCGCGAGGTGGCCGGTCAGCCTCATCTTGTGCTGGAAGTTCAGGCAATTCGGCCTCTTCTTCTAGCGATTTGTGCTTTGGGTATCCCCTGGTAGGGGGCTCGAGTCCGTATTCCTCGGCCGCCAGGACTTCGGTCCATCTGTTTGTGAGCAGATCTTGATTAGCTTGGAGCTGTTGCTGCTTCTTTTTCAGGCTTCTTGCAGTGGCTATAAGCCGGCGCTTCAAGCGCTCCTGCTCTATGGGATCCTCTGGTACGCCAAATTCGTCGTCACCGAGGCTCACCTCGTCTTCAGAGGGAGGCATATAGTTATCGTCCTCCAAGTATCCGTTCGTCGCCTGTTCATCTGGGCTGACCTGCCCGTGTTCCTGTTCAGCTTGCTCGAAGGTGGGTTGATCAGGATCGTATTCCTCTTCGGCACCATCTGGATTTTCTTCTCCCGTGTCGGTGTTGCTGTGGCGGGGCTTGGAGCGGCGCCGGTGACACCCATGCTTTGATTTCTTCCCTGAGGGGTTATCTCCTATTGCCTCATCGCCATTGTTTTCTTTGGGAGTATCCACCATATATATATATATATATATATATATATATATATATATATATATATATATATATATATATCATATGAAGAGGTGGCAGTCCAACGCCCTGTGGCGGTGGTTCCTGTTCTTCTCCCGCATCGTCGTCTATACCGTCGATGTCTTCAGAATCGAAGTTAAGCACGTCGGTCAAGTCATTGACAGTGGCTATTAAGTGGGTGGTGGGTGGGTGACGAATTTCTTCGTCGCCTGCTTCCCACTCGAGCCGAACATAGTTCGGCCAGGAATCTCCTGATAGACAGAGAGAGTGACCTTAATGAATTTAGCACATCGCCGAAGGGGGAGCGCTGGAAGATATCCGCGGCGGTTAATTCCATTATTGGAGCCCAATCAGATTCGATGGATGCACGCGGTCCGGGATCTACGACCGAAGGTGAGTGGGGTCCGGAGACATAGATCTCCTTAGGAGCGGAGTCTGTGTTCGGTTCCAACGCCGATGAGTGTGCGGCCTCCGGGGCGGGGTCCATCCATCCATCCTCGGAAGGCACGACCTGCTCTGGAACAAAGTCCGGAGCTGTAGCAGGTGCGATGTTCTGAATACTGTCCGACGGCAGATCTAGGTCATGCACGTCGTGATCGTTCGGCGCTCCTGACATGGGCCCGAATCCGTCGAAGATCAAGTCTCCGCGGATGTCGGCAGTGTAGTTTAGGTTTCCAAACCTGACCCGACGGCCAGGGGCGTAGCTGTCGATCTGCTCCAGATGGCCAAGCGAGTTGGCCCGCAGTGCGAAGCCGCCGAACACGAAGATCTGTCCGGGGAGGAAAGTCTCACCCAGGACGGCGTTGTTGAAGGTTGGAGGAGCCATCGAGCCTTACAGCGACGACACAAAGGAACTCTCAATGAAAGCACCAATGTCGGTGTCAAAACCGGCGGATCTCGGGTAGGGGGTCCCGAACTGTGCGTCTAAGGCTAATGGTAACAGGAGACTGGGGACATGATGTTACCCAGGTTCGGGCCCTTTCGATGGAGGTAATACCCTACTTCCTGCTTGATTGATCTTGATGATATGAGTATTACAAGAGTTGATCTACCACGAGATCAGATAGGCTAAACCCTAGAAGGTAGCCTATGGTATGATTGTTGTTATTGTTGTTATTCTTGAGTCCTACGGACTAAATCCTCCGGTTTATATAGACACCGGAGGGGGCTAGGGTTACACGGAGTCGGTTTACAGAGTAGGAGGTCTACATCTGAATCGCCAAGCTTGCCTTCCACGCAAGGAAAGTTCCATCCTGGACACGGGACGAAGTCTTCAATCTTGTATCTTCATAGTCCAACAATTCAGCCAAAGCATATAGTCCGGCTGTCTGGATACCCCCTTATCCAGGACTCCCTCAGCAGGGGCCTCCACGGGGGTCCACATTTGATGACAAACTATGTATAGACAACTTGGTTGGACGTTTGCGGGTGTTTTGAATGTCCGCGGTGGAGATACACCAACCCCTTGTTGTTACCTGTGTTTTGCAACCAGACGATATGACATCATCCGGAAGTTTCAGTTCGTAACCGTAGCAGTAGTGATTCTTTGATCACTGCATTTTGCACCGTCGTCACTGAAGATTATATTCCGATCGTGCCGGCCACCGTCGGGTCACTCGGGTGGCGCGACGTGCCGTGGAGACGATGAGTAGGTCATCGTCGATCGTTTCTTTCCACAGACCAGACCGGGTGGTGAAGTGCAGAATGCAGAGATCGGAGGCGTCTCCCGCATGCAACAATCGCCGCCGAGATTATATTCCCAGCTCTGGACGCTTTCCGTTTCACGTCGCCGTCGCCACTCCCGGCTTACGCGCGTGGCACCCTCTATAAATTCGGCACGATTTCTCTTGGTTTCCACACAAGGAGCAGCAAAGCTTCCTCAAGGTCGTGTGGGTTACTGGGTTTAACTAGCTTGGCTCGGCCGCTTCCTCCGCGCAGCTCCGACGATGGCGCGCCTCCTCGTTCTCGCCGTCACGGCCACGGTTCTCATGGTGCGAAAGAGCTAGCTAGTAGAGCCGGCCATGCATGGCACAGATACCTATCATACACGACTGAATTTTGTCTTGTCAAACATTTCATCGGTGCGTTTTTTTTGTCTCTCCAGGCTCAATCCGGGCAGCCGGCGTCTGCTGCGCGCCGCCCTGCCCGACGCCCCCATGCCGGACGCCATCCTCGAGCTCCTGCCCCAGTTTGATCACCACGCATCAACGGAACAGGGTACTGATTTTGTGGCCATCTTCCGATGGAAGGCCGTCTCTCTCTAGCTCACCCACGTGCCTTGCTGCATGAATGCAGAGAAAGACACTCCGGAAGGCGCGGTCGAGGACGTGGAGGACAAGGACCCGCCGCCGCCCATGAACTTCAACTACGACTACGATGACGCCTTGCCCCGGAGCGAAACCACCAGCGCCCCCTCCCCCGACGTCCTACTGAACCGCGCCGCCGTCGTCCGCAACGTCGCCACGCCGTCGTCGGCGGTGTTCTTCCTCGAGGACGCGGTGCGCGTCCGGGAGAGCCTGCCCTTCCACAGGATCCATCGGGCCACCGGCGCTGCCGAGGCGTCGGCAGAACAGCCGCTGGAGCTGTACACTGTGCACTCCGTGAGGGCGGTCGAGGGGTCCAATTTCATCCTGTGCCGGGGTGAAGCCGGCGAAGGGGCCGTGTACGGGTGCCGCGCAACCGGCCCGGCGAGGGCCTACGTCCTGGCCCTGGCCGGCGAGCGCGGGGACGTGACGATGACCGCGGTTGCCGTGTGCCGCACCGACGCATCCCGATGGGACCCGGAGCACGCCGCCTTCCGGCTCCTGGGCGTGAAGCCCGGCGGCGCGGCGGTCTGCCACGCGGTGCGGGACGCGCAGCTCCTGCCGGCCATGAACGGGAAGAGCCCCGTCGCCAACTAAGTGGCCCCTCGTGTCTGTCGTGTCCGACTCTGTATGATCGTATCCATATGGTGAACCCGTGTCTATGGGTATAGCTGTTGTATTATCTGTTCCTTCCACTTCCACTGTATGTTGCTAAGCACTCTATGGAGTGATGTATGACTGTTAAAAATAAAGGATGCACGTTTCAATTTCTTTACAAGATCAATTGTCTCGATTTCGAATTATTTGTGAGTTGTTGCGAAAGAGAACTCTTCTTTTTTACCTATGTCTGCTCCAACTTTATGCTCGGCTGATGACCCGCACGCTGAGGTCATTCCCACTAGATGCATTCAAAGCCGTTCGATCTTCACTGGAGACCATCTGTACCATTCAGTTTGAGTCGGCGAGTGATATTTTCGCTACTGTCGTGGTCAGCGTCCCTTTTTACATTACACTTTGGTCCCACCATGTAGTGGGCCCACATTCAGTGGCGTGTGAGGTCTTGACCAGGGTGGAAAGCTCCCTCCCAGTTGGTTCATAATTTATCCTTGAAAGAAAATATTTTTGTATTTTCCCTAACTCCCAAGTCCCAACCTTTTTACTCGCAAAAATAAGTACTAACCATTTCTTCTCTTTGTTGTTCACTCCCGCCTCCACTATCAGTGTCGCCGTACCATGTATTGAACACACGAGCATCTTTGCAACACCCCGCTCACCTACTGAGCCAGTGTTGCGGTCGGGGATTCTCCCAATCTCCACCGCTGCCTCCTACACTCATGCGGCTCGACCCTCATGCTTAGCAACGCAGAGTGTAGCTCTACCCATCCCTTCCCTGCAAACGCGGCCCTAGACACCCTCTCCTCCTCCCCCTGTGGTCCGTGAGGTGAGACGATGGATGTTGTGGCCATGAAGGCAGAGAAAGGGAGGTGAACATTCGCAATGCTCGTAGGTGGCTTGGCAGTGAAGATGTACGTCGGGAAAGGGGTTGGGAGCATACACGGTACACAGCGGTAGTCAAGAGAAAAGTGTTTGATTCACTTTACCAACAACAACAAGACACTGACATATTTGTCTCATATTTTCACGATGAATGGTTATCACCGTGCGAAAGTAAAAGGAAAAACTTCAGCAATAACCACACAAAAAACAAAAATCAAGCCTAACCTTGTGTGTATGCTAAAAGCCACCAAATTTGGGATGAAGTCGTTAAAATCATGCACAAGTTAGTGTTGTTACATATTACAACTAATTCTTCTGAGTATGACAAATCGGCCTACATCAGGAAAAGGAGGTGGAAGGAAAAATTGGGGTTAGAAGAGGCGCAAGGAGAAAGGAAGTGCCTTCACTACAAAAAAATAGAAGTGTGTTGTCGTAGAAGTGTTCCATGACATTACCTGTGTTGTCGTAGAAGTGTTCCATGACATTACCAAAATTATCATCACGGAAGTGTCCACTTTCATGACGATAAATCGCGCGTCACAGAAGTGCTTTCGTCAAGGGTGACCGACACGTGGCATCCACCGTAGCGGAATGATGTTAATCTATCGGGTCCGGTTTTGGATCCGATAACCCGTTAACAGCCTGGACCAATGGGGATTTTCCATGTGTAAAATCATCATTGGCTAGAGCAAACACGTGTCAGCTCCGCGTTGGCATAGGTGTCACTCATCCAATGGGCAAGATGCGCCTATGATATGTTGACACGTGGACCGGCCCAAAAGTGGCCCATAAAGTTTAAATGGGCCGACCCAACTAAAGGCCCATAAGATTTTGTGGACCATAATGGATCGGCCTAGCTAAAGGCCCATGAGATTTTGCGGACCATAATGGGCTGGCCCAGCTAAAGGCCCACAAGATTTTGCGGGCCATAATGGGCCGACCCAGCTAAAGGCCCACAAGATTTTGCGGGCCATAATGGGCCGGCCCAGGTAAAGGCCCACAAGATTTTTGCGGACCATAATGGGCCTGCCCAGCTGAAGGCCCACAAGATTTTGAGGACCCTAGTAGGCCGGCCCATTAATTGGTTGCCATATTTTGGGCCAAATGTCGGGCCATATTTGATCCGATCCATTAATGGCCTGCCATGTTCCGGGCCTAATAATGGTCCATATGAGATCCGGCCCATTAAAAGCCTACCATGTTCTGGGCCAAATTACGGCCCAGATTAGGTTCGGCCCTTTAAGAGGCGTTGGGATAAATTATGGCCCATATCAGATTCGGTCCGTCAACTGGACGCTATGCTTTTGGGCCCACTTGCTAAAGACCCATTTAGTAATTCGGCCCGATATTAGTTTTGGCCTATTAAAGGCCGGTTTAACATTTCGGCCCTATATTAATGTTGACATGTTAAAAGCCCGTCATATAGTTGGGCCTAACTACGGCCCGGTTTGCATCCGGCCTGCTCGCAGCCGATAATCTGATTGGGCCAAACAAGAACCAAGACAATCTTGGCCTGTTAAAAGCCCGTGATTTGATTAGCACAATCATGGGCCGGGGCCCATTTCGGGCTGCTGCCGACCCGTGAGTTGTTCGGTACGTTTCAGGCCCAACCTACTTTTCAGCGTCCTAAAAGCCCATTGAGTTTTCTTGTGAAAAGAGGGTCGACGAATTACTCGGCCTATTAAAGGCCCGAATCTACTAGTGGCCAGTTTACATTTAGGCCTTTTAACGGACCAAGATGACGGGGCCATAATGCGGATCATACATCATGATTGCATGATGGCCCGATTATGTACCGTAATTTTACGTTTTGGCCGGTTTACTGCGAAGACAGGATATATATACAGTAAAATAACTGCAGCATCGTGAATAAGAAAAAACCTAGACTATACAATAAAGAAATTACGGCATATTACATCCACTGGGCATCAAAGTTCGCCACTATGGTCACATTGATCACATTGGTACAGATTTGCAACTGGCAAATATCTTCACCAAACCGTTAGATGAAGCAAGGTTTTGTCGACTTAGGCGTGAACTTGGTATCTTGGAGCTTGACAATATTATGTGAAATTTAGTACCCGTTCATGCATGAATCTAATGTATGGTCATGATGTAGGCATATATTTAGGGGGAGGCATTCAATTCATGAATGCTCTCACCTTACATAATGCATAAAAAGAACCAACACTCTCAAAGCTACCATGGTTCTCGAACTATGGTGCTTTAACAGGATGGAGTCATGACTATATGCCCAAAGTCTACATCTTTGTGGCACTATGTTACATATGCTCAAACATGGTGACCTCTGTCATCGCGTGTACCTTATGTATGTGAACCTCTCATTTTTTGTTGTTGTTAGGGATGCTATTTCATCCTAGTATGGCCTTAGAATTACTCAGGGAGTCACCTTTATAAATTCTCTCCAAAACTCCTTGGCGGAGTCCATATCAAATCACGAAATTATCTTCTTTCCAATCTCTCTCTGGCCTGGATCTGTTGTCCAGTGGCCGGACATCCGGCCCCTCCGCCGGACATCCGGGCACTGGAGCACTGCCGGTCATCCGGGCTTTAGGCGGACATCCAGGCCCTGATCCTATAGCTGTCGATCCCTCACACACCGGATATCCAGCCTCCTTCTCGGATGTCCGGCCCGTTGTCCCCTTTTTACTTGCTCTCTGACCTTCGCTCGCCGGATATCCGGGCCGGGGTCCTAGATATCCGGTCCGTAACCGCGGCCACACATATCTGGGGAGGGGCTCTGGCGTTTGGGGTTCATTCCCCATTCACTCCCGTTCCTCTTCCCCAGCGCTCGTCACAGCCGCCGCCGCCGGGCTGCCGCTTCGATGCTGCCCCGACCCTATTCTCCGAGCTCCGGCCCCGATCTCCTGCTCACGGCCTCTCCTCCTCCCGATCTATGATTCTATCAAATCCATTTCTTGGGTTGGGTTGTGAATCCCTCGGGAGGAACAGGTGTTGTGTGGGAGTAACTACCGGAGTTCATCATGGCAAGGACCAAGAACTGCGGCCCCGATCGTCCCGAGCCCTCTTCCAGGGGTATGAATGCTATCTCTCCTCCATTCCGCTTCTATGGTGACCACAAGGTCTTAGGGCATCACTTTTGGTCTCTTGAGTGTTGGTGTCTCTTGCCTATGCTTAAACCATCTGTCAATGAACTTGGCTACTCAAATTTAAATCATGGACATGTCTCCTTTTTGATCTACCACTGAACTTATTCTATGGTCATGCTCAAAATGGTCATCCTATTGTTTAAAATTGTTTCATCCATGTTCATCCTTATTCGTACCATCTCATCGGGATCTCTCATCCATTCCATTTGTCCGCCGGCAAGGCTCAACTAACTCTGATGAGCATGCTCGGCCTAAGAAGAAGAAGGCCACCACCGTTAAGAAGAAGAAGCGGGCACCATCCACTAGCCCATCGGCCTCGGATCCAGATGATGCGGACTATGTTGGGGAGGATGAGGAGGTCTGTGCACCAAGACACTCTGTTGGACAGTCCAAGCCCGGTACTAGGAGGGCCCCGATGCCTCATGTCAGCGGGTCTGCAATGCCCGTTGCTCATGGCCGTCGCATCTCCATGGAGCTTCCTAACAGCGGGGATCGCGCTCCTCACAACTTCAAAACTGTAGGGGCAGCTCAATATCTTGTGTTTCGTCGGGATGTCAATCAATATGAGATGGTAGCTGATGCGGAGGATCCTCGGTTCCGGACTCATATGCAGCAGGATCTTTATTCTAGTTTCGTCCGAGGGCGTGGCCTTGCTCCTCACTCATACTTGGATCTCAACTTCCTACGTGAGAATCCTGACATGTTTCCAAACGATCCGGTCCAGATCATTGATGATATGACTCTCGGTCCCGCAATGACCTTCAGGTGTGATTGGAATGAAGCTGCCATTCTACAGTTCTATGCCACCTGTTTCTTTGGTCCGGACAACACTCTCACTTGGAGGACTGATAACACCACTCTGAGCATCACCTATGACAGGTTTGTTCAGATTTTAGGTATCTCCGGTGTTGGCCATCGCATCCACAGTATGGATCCTAAGAGCAAGCCCAAAGTGATTGATGCTTGCTT